TAATTCTTGGTGGCCAGTGGATAAGCTGAACAACCTCAAAATATGGCCCCTTAATGGGAACTGCCGTGGCTGCTCTAAACCCATGGCCCCCCCAAGCACCATCCCACCAGCCTGACCCCTCTCTCTCACCTCTCCCCAGTGTCTCCTGACTCTTTTACCCAGGCAGCATCCAAGGCCAGTCCAATTCAGCAGCAGAGCCAGGGCTCAGCAGAGCACCTCCCAAGAGAAGAGGGAAATGCTTCATTGCTGAGCCCTGCCATACCCTGCCACTGCCCACAAGGCCAGCAGAACAGCACCTGACCTTGTCATTTGGGCTCCTGGGACTGTGGCTCTGCTCCCCTGGGAATGCAGATGGGCACTGCAAAGAAATCACAGAGGCAAAGGCACATCTGGACAGATCCTCTCAGAGTGCAACATTTGCACCAAAGGTCCTCCCTCAGGAGATTCCTTTTCACTGACCTCTTACTGCAAGGACCTCCTTCCCATTGCACCTACTCCATCCCCGGACTCTGTCCTTGTGTTGCCTTGCCCATCTCCTGGGTGCCAGGCAAGGGCCTTGTGACATCACAGCCTTTGTGGAACAGTGTGGGGGCTGAAAACTGTCAGCGCTCCATCCCCGTGCACAGAGCCTGGGCAGAACTTGGCTGGAAGGGACAGCAGAGACTGTGCAGAGGGGTCAGCTCGTCCCGCAGCAGCACGATGGGTTTAATTTTGTTGAATCTAAGCACATCCTTTGCCACTTCCTTTTTTTTTGATGGTGCACAACCTGACAAGCATCAGCAGAATGGGAAGGAGGTCCTTGCAGTAAGAGGTGAGTGTAAAGGAACCTGAGAGGGGAACTTTGGTCAGAATGTCGCACTCTGAGGGGATCCATCTGTAGTTGCTTTTGCCTCTGTGATTTCTTTGCAGTGCCCATCCGTATTGCCAGAGGAGCAGAGCCACGGGTCGAGGAGCCGAGCGACAAGCTCAGGTGCTCTTCTGCTGGCCTTGTGGGCAATGGCAGGGACTTCAGGGGTGGGCATTTAAGCATTGCCCTCTTCTCTTTGGAGGTGCCAGCCCGGTAACCTTTGGAAAGAAATGAGCGTCCCAGGTGAGTCAGGGAGGTATGGAGGAGGAGCAGGGGTCCAGGGAAGTGTCAGAAATGCCACTGAAAGCTTTTGTTCCCTGTTGCAGGTGTGCCATGCAGTGGGAGCTGCAAGCTGCACCTCTTGCTGGAGGCAGACCCACGAGGAGTTGGGTGCACTTAGGAGACGGTGAGTGTGGGAATGGTTGGGGTTTGGCCGATGTGCTGCTAAAGTCATGCACTGATTTTGGTTTCCTTTCTTGGAGCTGACGAAGAGAAGAACCCAGGGACTGCAGGAAGCCCTGAGGCAGCCGAAGGGACATGCTTTTGGAAGGTGGATTGACAGTCTCATCTCTCTGCCAGATAAGTGAAGGGCTCTGAGGCAGAGAGGGGGATGAGAGCTGGGTACAGGTTTGGGAATTTCCAAGAGAGCTTTTGAAATGAGCATAGGGAAGGGGATGTCAAAGAAGAAGCCCCATAGGAGTGGGAAGCGGAGAGGCTGAGTATTACGGGCAGCACTAGGGTGTGCAGGGCAGAGCACAGCATATCCCCCATGTAAGATTCTTGTGGGTCTGTCTTAGCAGTTCTTACAGGCACTTCTTATCAGAGGTCATTGTGTGAGCCTCTTTTTGTTCTTCCTTTCGAGGTGGGATGCAGGTGGTTGTTGGGGCTAACAGCACTGGAGTGCAGACGAGCAAGGTCAGCATTTTCCTGCCAGTAAGAATCAGACGATACTTCTGGTGGGTTTAACTTTCGTGAATCGAAACACATCCTTTGTCATTTGCTTTTTTTCTGATGGTGCACAACCTGACAAGCATCAGCAGAATGGGAAGGAGGTCCTTGCAGTAAGAGGTGAGTGTAAAGGAACCTGAGAGGGGAACTTTGGTCAGAATGTCGCACTCGGAGGGGATCCGTCTGTAGTTGCTTTTGCCTCTGTGATTTCTTTGCAGTGCCCATCCGTATTGCCAGAGGAGCAGAGCCACGGGTCGAGGAGCCGAGCGACAAGCTCAGGTGCTCTTCTGCTGGCCTTGTGGGCAATGGCAGGGACTTCAGGGGTGGGCATTTAAGCATTGCCCTCTTCTCTTTTGAGGTGCCAGCCCGGTAACCTTTGGCAAGAAATGAGCATCCCAGGTGAGTCAGGGAGGTATGGAGGAGGAGCAGGGGTCCAGGGAAGTGTCAGAAATGCCACTGAAAGCTTTTGTTCCCTGTTGCAGGTGTGCCATGCAGTGGGAGCTGCAAGCTGCACCTCTTGCTGGAAGCAGACACACGAGGAGTTGGGTGCACTTAGGAGACGGTGAGTGTGGGAATGGTTGGGGTTTGGCCGATGTGCTGCTAAAGTCATGCACTGATTTTGGTTTCCTTTCTTGGAGCTGACGAAGAGAAGAACCCAGGGACTGCAGGAAGCCCTGAGGCAGCCAAAGGGACATGCTTTTGGAAGGTGTACCACACAGATAATAAAGAAATACCAAAAAATACTTTTCTCCATTGTTTCTGCATATCATAAACTTCCTACCAAACATTCTCTATCAGCTTTCTGCCAGAATTTCTCACCAGGACTTCTCACAGCACTTTTCCTGCCAATAGATCCTGCCATTGTTTAAGGTTACCATATCTCCTCAAACATCTGAACTGGCTACGTACCAAGAAACCACGTACAACCTGCTTTGAACACTATAAAAATTGAGGAAAAATTTTGGAAAATCAGGGGACAGAAAAGGGAGAGAGAGCTGGTGACTGTAGCTGAGAATCTCTCCCCACCTCCCCTCCCCTTTTCTCCGCCACCGCGTGCTGCCTGCCTGCCACCGGAGACTGGAACTGTGCCAGCCTGGAGAGAGCTGAGACCACCGTGCCACATGTGGGAGTTCTACCTTGTCCTTCCAGCCTTGTCATATTTCTGAAGGCCTAAAAGTGCAGCTGAGTGGGACCCTGCACAGCCTGGGACATGGCTGGGTGTGAGTTCCAGAGGACTAAAGCTGTCAGACCCCCTGCAGCTAAAAAGATAACATCAAAAAAGCAGCAGAGACAGAGGAAAAAAAAGGCAGAAAACTACTTCCCCCCCTTCACACACACAGTAGCTTGGCAGGAAAGGTGGTATGGTGATATCTTTTCTCTGCTTCTAAAATATAATCTTAAGCATTTTCCAATCTTTTCTTGTTTTTTCCTTTTTCTCTTTGCATTTCTTAGCAATTAATAAAATCAGATTTTGGTATCAACAGATAACTTATGTGAGTTTTAATTTTGCTCAAGGGAATATCCAAATCGGAAGTTCTTTCTACAGTATTTAAGCAGATTATAACAGTGGTACATTGTAGCGTCTCTCCCCTGAGAAAGCTGGTGCAGAACCTCTGGGCCTTTACTTTGTGTTGTCATGGGGACAAACGGGGACAAGATGTGTTTTAAAGTTTCTCCCTGCCCTGCTGTGTGCTGCCGCTTGGCTGGTGGAGCAGCAGAGCAGAAATTCCCTGTTGGCATCTGGCAAAGCAGCAGGTGCCAGCAGTGACGATGGGGTGGGGGGTGAGGTGTCTGCTCTTCAAGAGGGCCAAGACAAAGGCGTTGGGGAATTGTCCCGGAACTCTGGCATGGCAGGCTTGGAGCGCTCGGTGGGCATTTCTTGAGAGCTCGGGTGCCCCCCGCCTGCTCGGGCTGGGATCCGAGCCCATGCTGAGCCTCATTCCATGGCAGTGTGTCCCGACGCAGCCCGGCCACAGCTGAAGCCAAAACCCGGAGCGGGTGAGGCGGGACCTGCTCCAGCGCCTCCCGCAGCCTCCGGCCCGGTGGGAGCGGCCCGGGCCCTGCCCCGGGCACCCTGAGCGGGGCAGTGCCCACTCCCGCCGGCCGCCCTCACAAGGCCCAGGCCGCCTCCTTCCCACACGGCCCAGCAGGGCCGCCCTCACGCCTGCCCGGCCCGGCCATGTCCCGCCCGGCCCCGCCCTGCCCCGTGGCCTCTGGGACACGCCACGGGACGTGCTGAGCGTCCCCCCAGCCATTGTGACGCCACAGGTGTGAGCAGGGCACGGCTTTGGTGGTGCCCGGAGCCGGCGCTCAGAGCTGCTGTGGCCTCTCTGGGAGCAGCAGCACATCCCGCTCTGGGAGCTTTGCGCGCCTGTTCTGCCGGCTTGGTGGCTGCAGCCACGACCACTGCGCAGGGCGACCTCGTCTGCCTTGTGCTTTATACCCTTTATATCCTTATTCTCATCCTTGCCCCCTTTGTCACCCTCACCCTAAACCTCACCCTCGTCCCATTCCTCATCCCTACTTGGCTCCCGGCAGCCCCGCCGGGGGCTTCTTGCGCTTCCTGCTGCTGGGAGCTCCGAGCAGGGCCATGCCGTGGCTTCTCAGCAAGAAGCGACGGCAGTCGCCGTCCAGCAGCACCAGTGGGCAGCCCTGGGCTGCCCCCAGCTCCACCAGTGCCTCCGAGCTCAGGGAGAAGGGGCTGGGCAGGCTGCACCGCGCGGCCGCCCGCGGCGACCTGGCCTGGCTGAGGCGGTGGCGCTGGTTTGTGAGGGCAGTTGGCATCGACAGGCGAGACCAGGAGATGCGGTGAGTGCTGTGGGACGCTGATGGCACAGCTGGGCTGCTCCTGAGCCAAGCTGCAGCAGTCCTCGGCAGCCCTTTCTGAAGGACAAGGCTTGAAAAGTGAGCTGTGCCCTGTCAGCTGGGAGAGTGAACTCTGGAGCTTTTCACTGCTTGGAGCTGCCGGCTGGGCTCGAGCACTGTTGGAAACGCGTGTCCCCGACCTGCCGCTTCACCGTGGTCTCTCTGCAGGGCTGTCTTGCAGCTGCTCAGCCCTCACCTGTTCTCTTCTGCCCTGTGGCTCATCAGCACAGGATTGCAGCAGCAGCAGCAGAGAGCAGCAAGCAGGAGGAGCAGTGTCCGGGCAGGGTCCCCAGGGTGCTGGGTAGAGACACAGCTTTGGTTTTCCTTTGTCTGTCCAGGTTAAGAGCGTATGTTTAATTTTTAGGACCCCTCTGCATCTCGCTGCGGCAAATGGCCATGCAGATGTCGTTCGATATCTGATGAGAAAGAACAGCCAGCCGAACCTCGCTGACAGCTTCAAGAGAACAGCACTGATGAAGGTGTGTGGAATGCCTTACGATCTTGTAGGTGGGGTTAGTGCTGCTGTGTTAAAGAGGAGATGTCTGGCAGGATTCCTTGCCCCGCAGGCCCATAGAAACATGCAAGTTGCATTCAGCATGGCATGAACCTCTGTTAGCTAATCTTTGAAGATGATCTTCTATCCTAGCATTCAGGAGCTGAGGGAGTTGTGACAGAGGGGGATGTAAAAGTTACAAGTCTTTCCCTTTCTGTGTGTTGTTCCCAGGCAGTACAGCAGGAGCAGGAAGAATGTGTTGCTGTTCTGCTGGAACACGGTGCCGACCCGAATCTGGCAGATGCTGACGGCAACACTGCCCTTCACCTGGCTGTGCTGTCTAAAAATACAGCTGTAGCAGGGCTGTTACTCCAGCATAATGCCAAGAGTGATGCTCAGAACCAGGTAACCTTGGCGTGTGGGTAAAGCTGCTCTTTCAAACAGGTGCAGAGCTTGTCTGTGTTTTTCTAATGGGGATTATTTCTCCTTTTAGTGGGGATTTACCCCCTTAAAACTTGCAGCCTTCCTCCAGCATGAGGAGATTCTGCAGTGCCTTCTGACCAAAGCAGCTGACAGGCATGCTCAAGCTGAGCCTGAGAGGTGAGGGGTTTGTCAAACCAGCACCCAGGTCTTCTCAGTAGTCTGAAAGTGGGACTGAGAGGAGGGGCATGGCAATGGGCTTGGGAAAAGAAGGAGGAGCCACGTGGAAGCTGTTCCCTGTGTGACTGGTGAAAGCAGGTCTGCACTTGGCTGCTCTCATAGCTTAGGGGCTCGTCCTTTGCCCTCTGAGGTCTGCAAGAAAGCCTTGTGTGTGGTGCCCTCTCCCCACACAGCCCCAGAGCCAGTGGGACACTTGCCATGAGCTCAGCAGCCGGGCTGCTCTGCAGGACAGGGAGGTTCAAGCCAAGGCACAGTTGGGGCATTGAGTGCTCTGAAGGGAAGCCTTGGCAGAAAGAGAAGCAACACTGTCCGAGGGGACACGAGGGGCTGACACCGCACCTGAGGAGAAAACTCCCTGCCATGCAGATGGTCAGGGGGTGAACAGCCCCGGGAGTTTGTGCAGCCGCATCTGTGGGGACTTTGGAGAGCAGTGCAAGGAGCCCTGGACAGCATGGCCTGACCTCGGAGTTGAGGCTGCTTTAGGGAGGCCCCTTCTCAGCTGAATTCTCCAGTGCTTCCATGTGCTTGGCTTTGCTTTCACAGAGCTTGTAGGAAAGGGGGAAGAGCTGTTTTGGGAGCAAGCAGGGGAAAAATGATGCAGGATCAGACATGTTTCAGATTAAATTTTGGATGCCTTAGGACTGCTCTTGTGGTTCCTGGAACCCATGAGGCTCACCCGGAGGAAGAGAATCTGCACTTGCAGAAGGAGTTGGACAGGGCTGACACCAAGGTATGGAAGTCCTGTCCCTACAGGGATAAACTTAGGGGTGCCAGCTGCTCCCTATACATCATGAAAACAGAAAAAACAGTCTTCTGGGAGCCAGGATGACAGAGACCCAAGGAAGCAGCAGTTTCATCGGGCTTTGATCTGACTCTGTTGCTCCGGCCCCTGCCCCACAACCCACCATGCTGAGGCAGAGCTGCCTCTCCTGAGGGTTTCACCACTCGCCGGTCAGGGGGGCTGGGGCTCCTCTCTCTCCACTACATTCAAAGTCTTCCTTGTTTAAGAAGACTCCCAAGGCCCCCCTGGTGAGATTCTCCACTCCAGAGCAGGTCTGTGGAGCAGTTCACCTGGCTGCCCTGGCTGAAATGGTGGCCATCAGCTTGTCAGTGATGCCATCCTTCCTGGCCCCACCACACTGAAGCAGAGCTGCCTCTCCTCAGGCATCCACTGCTTCCTGCTCAGGGGCTGCTGGGTGCCTCTCTCTGCACTTCACTCAGGGCTTTTCCCACTTCAGAAAGCTCCCCATGCTCCCCTGGTGCAATCCTGGGCTCCAGAGCACATGTGCCGGAGCAGTTCACCTCTGACCCTTGCCAGACGCCTTCCTTTAGGAAGATGAACTATTCCATGCACCTTTTCATGGAGTAGCAAGCAAGGCAATACAAGGAGTGTCACAGGTCACAAAAAAGGTCGGAGGGGCAGTGTGGGTGCTTAGAACTGTGCTGTAGGAAATCAGTGGAAAAAATTACTGGTCCATCCTTCTCCATCCCCTCTGAGGAGCTGTGCAGGATGAGCTCCCAGAGTGGTTTGCCTGTAGAGCAGCTTTGGTGTTCAGAGAAAAGGAAGTCTGCTTGGGAATGGCCCTGATCAACTAATTCTTTGTTCCAGTCTGCTCTGAGCAGCTGAACATCACACTTACTGGATTCCTGCAATTTCTGGAGATCTTCATGCAAAGCTTTCATTTGTTGGATGAGCTCCTGCAAGTCCTCCTTCATGCATGATCCCTGGACCTTTGAGGCATTGGCCTCCCTTCTTCTTTCTGTGAAAAAAAAGAGGTCTCAGTAGGAGATGGACACTGTCCCCTTGAAGGGGAGACCACCCATCATCCCTGAGGATGCTCAAATCCTCAATGGTTACAAGTCTCTCCTTGAGAGTCTCTTCTTAGGCCTTCCTGCAGGTTTGTCTTTTTAATTCCTCTCCTCTGGAAAAATACTCACTCCAGAGGAATTAAACTTTGCACTCAAGGTGCAAACTGGAAATGGGATTTTTTGCCTTACTTCTTCATGCAGGGAGGGAACAAGAAACTCAGACTCAGTTCCCTCAGTCTGGCCTGTTTACTAATCTGTGTGCTTCACACTTCTTTTTCTTTAGAGAACCCTTTATAATTTCAGCAGTCTTGGAAAAGGACTCACTCATCCCTTAAAAAGAAGAGTTGGGCAATTCCCAAGCTGATGCACTGTGGGCACTGTTAGTGATCTCTTCCCCAGCTTTCAAATCCTTTTCCACCAGGAATTTGCTCTGGGAAGGAGCTTTGGTCTCTCTCCTGGGGCTCCACTCTTCCTTGGGACACGGAGACTGTTTTCTCTTCCAGCTTTTGTCTGTGGAAAGGAGTCTCAGCACCACTGGGAGCCCTTAGAAACACGGGCTTGGAGCTCCTGTGCTGCTGGGGAGGAGCATTGACAGGAACCCCACGGCCCCCTCACTCCCCAATGGCCTGGCCACGGCTGAGAGCCCAGGCCATGCTGATTTCCAAGTGTTCCTTGAGGGAAGAACATTCCCCTGCCCCCATCCCAGCTGCAAACAGCAGGGACAGACAAACAGTTGCCTTACAACCTGGGGACCATGGGATCCAGCAGAGCCCAGGCTGGGCTGGGCTGGGCTGGCAAAGCCACTCTGGGGCAGCTCTGCACCCTGGGGCCTGGGGGCCTGCATGGGCTGGGAAATACAACAAAGCACTGGCTGGAGGCCCTTGGAAGTGGGAATTTAGGGACAGATGGGATTATTGGACCTCACTGTGCTGGGCCCTCAGGCACAACAGGTCTTGGTATCTTCTTTGTGTTAGGCAGGGTTTAGTTTCCAGGTAGTGTGGGCAAGTCCTGGCACTCACCTGCACAGAAAGGCTTCTCCCTTTTGCCCCTGGAGGAAAGCCCAGGTTGAGATTCCTCCTTTAGTGGTCAAGGGAAGGAAACGACATCCCAGAAGTGCTGT